AAACAAAAAAACGAAACCCATTTTCAACAAGTGATCTAGAGAAGATCGATGATACTGGTTGGCATTTCCTCAATAACAGTATTGTAGAAAGTTTCTAATTCTTTCAAAGCACGAGCATCGTTCTCAGTAACAAAGTTGATGGCAACTCCTTTTCTACCGAAACGACCAGAACGACCGATACGATGAATGTAATTTTCACGATTGGAAGGAAGATCATAGTTGATAACTAAGGAGACCTGCAATTGGAAGTTTATAATTGTTGTAATCGGAGCTATGTTTATACCTGTTGGACATCAATACCACGAGCAAGAAGATCGGTTGTGATCAGAACTCTGGAAGATCCGGAACGGAACTCTCTCATAATAACGTTACGCTCTTGTTGTTCCATGTCTCCGTGAAGGCATGAAACAGTGAATTGTTTCTTAGTGAGCTGATCGTTGAGAGTCTCGACCTTTCTTCTTGTGTTACAGAAGATAACAGCTTGAGTAACATTAACAGATCCGTATAAATCACACAGAGTACCGAACTTGTACTCCTGAACAATAAAGTTAAGATATGAAACGACGAATATTTAGCTTACATCCTTTTGGACATTAATGTAGAATTGACGGATACCTTCAAGTGTCAACTCTTCCTTCCTTACTAGAATCTTGATGGGATCACGCATAAATCTTTCAGTGACATCGAGAACATCAGCGGGCATAGTAGCAGAAAGAAGAACGACTTGCACATCTTGAGGCATAGTTTTGAATGCTTCGTAAATCTGATCCTTGAATCCACGAGAAAGCATTTCATCAGCTTCATCAAGAACGAACATTTTAATTTTTTCCGTATCTAGAAATAATAATAGGTAAACTTCTTTGTGTAACTCATTACTAAGAATTCCTCTGTTGATCATGTCATTAACACGTCCTGGAGTTCCAACAACAACATGAACTCCGTCTTCAAAAGCTCTCTGATCATCTCTGATGCTAGTTCCTCCGATACATGGGTGAACTTTAATTTTCATGTAATCACCAAGAGCACACATGACTTTTTGGATCTTTAAAAACATATTAGTTAAATCACATTGGCAGAGCAATACCTGTTGAGCCAACTCACGGGTGGGAGCCATAACAAGAGCTTGGATTGTTGGTTCATCGTGGTTGATACGCTGAAGGATAGAGATGGAGAAGGTAGCGGTTTTACCAGTTCCAGATTGGGCTTGAGCGATAACGTCACGGCCTACATGAAAAATCAATCACAACATACATAATGCTGTTTGCAAACCAGTAGTGCATGGAACGATAGCACGCTGTTGGATAGCGGATGGCTTCTCAAAACCGAAAGCGTAAATACCACGAAGTAATTCCTCCTTCAAGTTCATTTCATCGAAAGATGGGACAACGGCATCGTAGTTTCCCTAAATAACGATTAACTACAGATATATATATATAAAGAAAAATGTTAGAAATTGTGTTCGAAGTGCTAGGCGAATAGAGGAGCACAGTCGTAGGGAAAAGAAATTATTTGTGTGAAAAAAGGATTTACGAATACTAACCTCGATGAGGCCATCGTTATCGACGACAGTTGCGCCTCCTACATGATTGTTCCTAAAAGAGGAAAATTCGTTAAAACTTAATGAAATTTCATTTTGTTTTGTTCTACTATTTGGCCTAAAATTCGGCTCACCCTTAAACTTTCAATTAACTTATAAATAGAATAACTCACTGTTCACTAACATCAGTCATGTCAATTTAAGTAACACGAAATGCTTTTGGGATATTTTTCAAAAACGAAAACTGGGCCCTATTAGTAAGGGGAATCAAGCAAATGGGGCTAGGGTAAACGATTCGAGGGAACCTTTTCCCGCCTATAGCAGTTCTGGTCTTGACGCGAATACCAATATTGGCGAGCATCCAAATCTCTTTATTCATTTTACAAGAGAACATATATTTCACATGGACAACGAATATGAGATGGTATTGCTGCGATAATTTTTGCAGATGTTGAATGAAATTGAGAGACATGAAAAAAGAAAGTTCTCGCCAGAACTGCTCATTCATTCTTTCCACAAATCAATATTCACAGGGAAATATCAAACTTTCATTAAATTGGTAAATTTTCTAGCTTTAGGAACGAATGTATCCTCTCACGTTCTCTGAGAAGTTAAAACAATTCAAAACTTCTTGTCAATTTAAGAAATCAGTAGTTTTAAAATGAAAAAAAAATGATCTTCTGTTACATTTTATAGTTTCCTCTCTCTATCGGTTGTAAATATTTGGAAGGATCGAAGATATTTGATTGTGTTGTCTGTAAACAGCGTGCAGAGAGAACTTTTTAACACTATCTTTGTTCACAGCTGTAATAAGAATGAGATGTATTCTTCGCGATTTTCAAAAAAAACTAACTTGAATTCGATTTTTTAATAGAAGTATGTTCTGTGCTCATTTGGTTGTTTTTTTTGCTACACACTTCGAGTTATGCTAAAATTCGAGATGTAGGCGGACACTTGTGTATGAGCAAAAGACTCAAAATAACCTCTTCAAACTGTCAGTTCTAACCGACTCAACCAATACTAACGTACTTTCCCATTCACATATTGCGAATTGCCTGAACAGAAAAGAAACTTGATTTCCGAAGATATTAACTTAATTATGATTTGGTTTCAAGAAAATTGATGCTATTAAGCCGTCATTAGCATATTTTCCAAGAATGCTAATGAAAGTATCCCACGTTACGTGAATAGGTCACGATCATTTCAAAATATGTGAACAAAATGAACGGTTGTTTGAAAATTGACCATCAAACATTTTCATTAATTTTTGGTTACTAACAAAATTTATACTCGAATGGGATGGCGTAATATTTTTTGACCTTTTCTCTCAACCTCTGGCAGACACATTGAGACAAGAACGCAATCTAATATTCCCACTAGGCTCTTTTTTGATGAAGTCGCGTAATAGAGGCAGTAACATATTCCTCAATTTATGAATCAGTGTTATCTATTTCCGATGAGGAAACGCTAATGTTTGAGAGTCTAACGTTCACAATGTGCTGTTTTTTTTTCATTTTTCGTAAAATCTCGGTTCAAATGTCAAATGATTACGTTAAATATATATCTTTGTTACATAATAAATTAGCTTATTATCAATATTTCAGGTTCACTTAAATATAGAAGATATTTCCTAGAGTTGAGTAGAGTAATTTATTGTTTGTTTTGACTGATGACTAATTCGAACCCCATTGTTGCAAGGGCAAAATTTGCTTTCACGGGTAAAAACAATGATGAGGTTTAGAAGATGCTCTTGATATACTCTAATACTCATTTCTTCAGTTAAATTTCGTGAAAAATGATATGATCTACATAACTCAACAACTTGACGGAGGCTGGTGGGAAGGAACTCTAAATAATGTTACCGGATGGTTCCCTTCTAATTATGTTGAAATAGTCGTTGAAAAAGGTGATTTGACATTAATTATAATATAAAATTAAGTTTCAGATAAATTGGTTCGCTCGCGTTCAGTACCAAATGCTGCTCCAATGGTGAACAACATGAAATGCATCAGCCCCGGTAAGTTCTGCAAATGCTTACCAAAACCACTTGTTCAGATTTCATGGGTGAACCTCAGATAACGAATACTCATTTTCGTAAAGAAGTTTTGGCTGGATTTCAAACCTCCGAAACAATTTACCTGAAACAAGTACAAGAAACGCTAGACAGTATAATCAGACCAATTAAAAAATCTCAAATGTGAAGCTTTTTAGTTTTCTGAAATGACGAAACATTTTCAGAATGAATGAAGATGATTTCAAAATACTCACTTGTAACATGGAAGACATTCTAGAACTACAGAAAGAAATGTTCGCAGAAATCGAAAGTAATATGAAGTGAGAAAGTTTTTTCTATTAAGCTTGATTAGTTGGGATTTAGAGTACCTGTCCCTGATCAGCGTATAGGAAGGATTTTCCTAGCGCCGGCTTCAGAATTGAAGAGTTTGATGTTAACATACTGTTGGAATCATCCAAAAGCTGTTGAAATTTTGACGGAAAAAAAGTAACTTTCAATTGGTCTAATTGAAAAACAAATGATACCATAGAACTGCCCTTACTGAGCTATTAACTAGTCTGGGGAAGGAAATGAAGGATTTGGTTACAGGACTAAGTGAACCGTTCCGACATTTAGATAAGTATCCCATTGTCTTACAAGAGCTCGAAAGAAGTTTATCTGTGAGTTTTGTTTTATAACATCGACTTATGGTTCTCGTTTAGGAAAGTGATGCAGATCGTGGAGATATTCAACGTTCCTGTCTCTTCTACAAAGAAATAAAAGTAAGAAATATTGCTACAGAGTTTTTTAAACAGAATTTCAAGGCGTTATGTGAAGCAGCAAGAAAGCAGAAAGAAACACAATTAGAGTTTCTCTACACAAGACAAGTGGAACAATGGGCCTCTTTCGAGGAAAGAGGGAAAATTTTATATATCGGAGCAGGAACAGTTTCCGAAGGCGAAAAGAAGAACGACAGGTTTGATATTTGTTTGAACGATTTTTGAATCCATCCTTTGCAGATGTTTAGCATTGTTTTCCAATTTACTACTTATTTTGGAAATTACTAAGGATCCCAATATTTTTAACTTTGTAACGAAAATAGAAACGGGAGATCTTTCAGTTAAGAGGGTTGAAGGTGGAATCTCGTTTAATGGAAGTAAGTGTATCTCTCTTTGGTTTGGTTTTGTATTTTCCAATTTCAGAAGAAAGTTTCCAACTTCTTTTAACACAGTCGTTTGATATTTCGAGATGGATGGAAGCACTAGAGAAAACTAATGGAGTCATAATAGAAGAGAGTCAAGTTTCTTCGCGCCCTCAATCACCTAGGAAATCAACTAGTTTTATTGTAAGCTCCTGCTTACGTGTCTCAATACCATTGTTTCTTCAGCAGCCTATATCACAACGTCATTCTCCTGATGTAAGCATCTCTTCTAATCACCGAAGATCCTTAGACAAAAAGTTATCGTACGTGTGTTCTCAATCTCCACTTCTTTTTATTGCCTTTTCTAGATTTGGAAAAGGAGATTTGAAGTTCAATCATGAGTTAGGAATGATCATTCCTGAAGGCCTTGAAACCACTGAAATAGTGGAGAATGAATATGGTTGGCTACATCGAAATAATGTGATTTGAATATGTTCTTTAGATTTCCCTCCAGAAATGAGCATCCTGCCGTTCTCTATGAACCGTCAAATGTCGAACCAAAGAGCTTCTTTGAATGGGGATTATTTAGAAGGTCAGTTTAGTATGTTTTCAACCGATGTTATTGCATCATCCGTAGATGTTGATGAATCTGCAGAAGATGCCTATCTCCTACAAATTGTTGAAGGTTTTTCAAAGTTGGAAGTATTAGCACCCCCTGTCAAAGAAACGAAACCTCAGCTCATTGTTGCGGAGCAAGAGAAAATTCTAGTCGAAGAAGTAGAAGGAGGAGAGGTAGTTTGGAAAGAGAAGTAAGCTCTATAAATTATTCCTTTGAATCCTTATTATTATTTTTTTTACAGAAGCTTGATCGATACCGTTTATTCATTGAGAGACCAAGTATCAGACTTGCGACGAGATGTAACTATACTCCAAGAGGCTCTAGTCAAAGAACAACAAGCTAGACGTCGTCTGGAAGAACATGCTTTAAGACAGAGTACGGAGATGTTGAACAGTTCTATTAAGAATCATAATAATTATTGAATGTTTTATGTGAGACAGGTAGCTGTATCCATTCCCATGTTATGCCAAAACATTTTTGTATTCTTGTTAAATGTGAAAAAATAATATAAGACTTATGCTAGTGAAAGTAAAATATATTTGCTGTGAATTCCGAAGTCCGAACTCCTTCTAATCCCCCCAGGAGATACCCAAAGAAGGATGGCAGAAAACTTTCATGAACTAAAAAAATGTCTTATTCGTCGTTGTACGAAAAACAAGAAACATGTCTGCCTGTGCTTGTGGTCGAGCGGAAGGAGTTCCTACCATTCAACTCAGACAACGAAAAGATTATAATATAAGTTTTTCATCAATTTATACCCATCAAACAACTCCCCAACTTATGAGAATATTGGAAATTTTTAGCTTGTCTGTAAACAGCATTTAGCCAACAGATGATGTTATGATGGAACTTCAAAGTGCTCTTTAACTCTTTCCAACATGACCATACTCGGGACATTTATCGAAGCATACAAAAGTTTTTTTGGAAGTTCACAGAAATCTGTTTGTTCCTCACAAATGTCGGTCATTACGATCAGAGCACATTAGCCCTCATTCGTTTTAAATTTACAATTCTCTTCAAGCTTTCAAAATATTTCCTTCTTGCTCCGAGATGACCGAAAAAGAACCTTCGTAATTTTTTTTTTCACGATACATACCTTTTGACAGGAATTATTAGTGTTTTGGAGACATGAGAGATGAGCGCTACATAAAATACTTTGTCAGGTCTACATAGCAACGAATTAAGTGTAGTGGTTATACTATACCTAAAGCTTAACATGTGTACCCGTGGCATACATTTCACAATGGCTTACTCACGTTCAAATAAACCTTTTAGCATTTAACTGTTTCTATAGAGAAACTAGAGGGTATGTTTCAGGATTAATCAAACTGTGTTTAAGGCTTCAGCCCCTTCATCTAGTACCCACCTAGCATTCCTTCTTTCTCTTGTTCTTTGTCTGTGTATATTCCTCTTTAATAGGATCTATTGTGACAAAGCTGATGAATAGACTTTCTGAGATTTTCATTCACATTGAAACTCACCTGCATAACGGACGGAAAGCTTTTAAAAGCGCCTTGTCTCCTTTTCATATTTTTTGTCTCGTATTTTCTGCTTTTGTTTTTAAATAATTCATTGTCTGTCAGCTTATATGTTTTTGCTTGTCTTTATGCCGTTTCTCTTTTCGTCTTGTTCTATACATAGACATTTCCCTCCTTTTTTTAAACCATTAAAGGCCTGTTACGAGACTAATGATCGTACCTGAACAACAACATCTCTTTTGTTTTTCCTTACCGAACACTTTCGTCTTTCCTCCTCTCACTTCTCTAACTCTGTTACAGTCATTATTTAATTTTATTTCTTCTTCAAATAATCATTATGAGTGAGAAAAAAAAGTTGAACGGATTCCTTTGAGTCCTTTACCAGCATCAGTTCAACATTTCCCTTGACTCTCACAATGTTTCAAATTGCCTAGACTTCATGAAATAAAGAAAACAATGCAAAAATGACGACATTATCGGTCTTGACCGACTACCCCTTTCAACTCAATTGAAAAGTTGCCAAATTATTTCAAAGAAAGGCTTAAATTGTCAAAGTTTCCTAAGCTGAACCTCAACAACTTAAATGAAAATGCGGAACGAAATTGCTGTTATCAGAAAATAGAACCAAAATCACATTAATTCATTTGTTTCAGTTGGTCTTGCAACAATGAATAAGCAGGTTGGAAACTGAATAATCATTAAAATGGATGTCTGTTCGCTTTCAAATCGCAGAGAGATATAGAGAGTGGGAGGGTTCTTCAGCTCTTTCTTTGAACTACTAGTTGTTCGATTTTTTCATTTTTGTTCTATCCCTCTATTTCTCCATTTACTCTCTCTCTCTCTTTTTCTCTCTGTTTTTTTTCTATTTGGCAAGGAGCCACGGTTGTGTGGCCACCAAAGGGTGCTTGGCCAGTTGTCCATCCTCTAGAGACAAAAACAGAAGTTTGAGAGAGTATAACTCTGGTTTTTGTTTTTTTTACATTTCATTATTGATCGTCTGGCATTTGCGAAAATCAATTCAATGATATCAGACCCAGTGGCTGGCCGAGTTGTGTAGAAATGAAAGTAAGCACCAAAAAAGAGGTTCAAAGAGAAAACGGATGACCGCACAAGATGAGCACTTGCATGAGCTTTCAACCTTGATTCTTTCATCGGTTTGAACCTTTCTTTTTTCAATGAAGTCCAAGAGGAACTAAAAGGAGAAAGAGAGAAAGAAAGAGCTGTCAAGGCTTTTCAGGGTTTTCTATCGTTCATTTTATATTATTTGTTGAAGTTCATGGAAAGCATGTGCGTTTCAAGCTCTTTGAAACAAGGGAAGAGAGAAAAAAAAAGAGAAAGAGAAAGAGAGAACGATAGAGAGAGAGAGATTGAGGGATAGATGTGCCAAGAATAGAAGAGTAGGTTTTGAAATTCTTCTCAGGGAAGTTTATACCCTATTAAATCCTTCTTTCCCATATTTTCTCATTGTTCACTTCCTATTTCTTTCTTTTCTTTCTTTTCTTATATCTGCTCTTTAATTGTTTCTGTTTGATGCTCTCAAAACTACACATAGTTCTTTATTTCTCTACTCACAACTTAACCAATGTCATAACCAATTTCATGAGTTCCATTTTTGAGGTTTAGTTCTATTACACATTTATTGATACCTTTTTTTTCCTTCCGAAAGGTGATGATAAGCTTTTTCAATTACAATCTGTGCAAGCATATGATTAAGCCTCATTAATCTGAAAGGGAAAAAGGTCAGCAGTTCGATTCTCTAAAGTAAGACTTTGTGTAACCATTTCCTTCTTGAAATTCCGTATTTGAACTTTATGGAAAATTTCATATTCAATGCCTTTCTCTTTCTCTCTCTGTCTTTCTCTGTTTCCCTCTTTCTCTCTATATATTTATCTATCTATCTATCTCTCTCCGTTTCCTGGATATCTCTGTAGACTATCATGCTTCCATCATATCCTGAATATATCCTTAGAAAGCTACTTCTCAATTCTCACTCAGAATAATAATACGTATAAGGATACTCATTGAGCATCCATTTAAATCTCTTGAACTCAGATTAAAATATAAAATTTTCTAATAAAATTCGTGCGGAGGATCGCTTATATTAAAGAAATAATATATGCAAATAAATATGGTTTTTTCTCTGTTTCTCCATTCCAAAGCTCCCTCAAATTAAGTCTCTTCATTAGCTCATGTCAGCTGATAGTGTTTTCATTTTGTTGGCGTAAGGTCGAACAGAGCGGTCGTTTGTTGTTCTCATTCCATTTCTGTAAGAACACATAGGCCAGTTGTGTTTTCTAAATTCAAAATTCAGTTTTGAGCATTATTATAGTGCAAGCTATTCTATAATTTTTATGTTTTTATTTTAACCAGATTTGTTCAATGTATAGTAGGTTGAAGCTTCAATGACTATACTTACATGCCGAAAAGTGGTAATGGTTTTCGGATACATTTCATGAAACGGTCGGTTGCTGTTCTTAAGCGAAAAGGGGGATATCTCATGAGCTGCAGTGACTATATGAAATTGAAAGGTATTTCAAGAGATGAATATGGAAACTAAAATGAAATGAAGTTAGATAGAATGGTTTTTCATCTTTTCCTACTTATTTTTACGTCATCTAGTCAATCGAAACAAGCAGGAAGCAACATAAGACTAAATAAGCAGTAATTCGCCCTTTGAAACATTTTTTTTTTCATTCGAACCATAAGGCCACCCTATGCTTTCTTCATAATCAATAATTTCATTTCATTAAAGCAATTAATGTACACAGATGTAGTTTTATGCATCAAAGTCATTTCCTACTCCGAAATTACCGAATCAACTTCATGAAGCGAGCATCGTTTTGATTTAATTTTTTTGCTGTTTTCCTCAAACTTTATTTTTCGAACTTTCGAGCTTAATTCTATGATCTCATGAAAGTTCAAAGCTTAATGCGGATAGAAAGTTTAATTCACAAAATTAATAAAAATTCTAATTCTTTTGCATAGAAAATACATATTGGAATGAATTTATTAGTGACAACTTTATTTCATTTTCATGTTATTCAGCTTTTCATCTCTACAACCTCTAAGCTTCTTTCGTATGGAAGCATTAATTATCATCAAAATTCGCCACATCTTCAGCCTATCAATGATGAAAATTTATTTTTAATTCTTTACTTTTTTCGACATTCGACAAAATCGACATTTATCGAATGTGTCGAATCGGATGCCCAAGTATAACCCACACACACGTACCACCCATGCCACAGATGCGACAGATCTCAAAATGTAAAAGCTGGAACATTAAGCATTGTCATCTTGTTCTGTTTGTTCCCAAACATTTTGTCTTCTGCTTCTGCTTTTTCTCTCTTTTTTCGTGTTCAAACCATATTCTTGTCGTCGCCATCGTCATTGTCATGGCCCTTATGCGTCTGATCGTCGTTATGTGTGTTTTACAAGCTGATTGAAAAGGATTAGTTGGACATTTCAATAGACATTTATGAAAATGAGAAAAAAAAGGAAGAAGAAAACTTCATTTTACATGTTTGGAAGAGGAGATGAAATAAGAAATCAAAGGATGTGGGTTGAATTGAAGTATCTGATATGGGACGTCCTCTCTCTTTCTCTCTCCCTCTCTACATAATGACTATCTGATCACAAAGGTAAATTGGGCTTGTTGTATGACAGATGAATGAATCCAAAATTCATCGTCATCTGAGAATTATATCTTTCTTGTAATATAAATATTCAGCTAATATTCAAAATGAATAAATTCCCTCTTAACCTAAGCTCTCTTTTCCTTCTCTCATCCGTTTGCGAACGTTTTCTTACTCTTCATATAAATCCCTTGTTTCCCTTTTTTTCCATTACATTTCTCCTTCTCTGAACGAAATTAGTATTCACGAATTTACATGATTTATTTCATTTTTGAGCCAGAAAGATATACCAAACTCTTTTTTGTTTAT